TTCGGGTCTGCCCCTGAAATCTAAACAAGGTAACTTTTAATACGAGCAAGTACAAGCCACAAGCCCAATATTCTTGCACGGAGAACAACAACCAAAAATCATTCACACAAGCATGCACACCTATCCATGAATTCCAAGAAGGGGAATACCATCCCTTGCTTCACCCACGCATATTCCTGCCAAGTGCCCATAACCAATTCATTAGATTCAACATAAAACCACAATCAAAATAACTCGTCCTTTATATTAAGTAGTTTGAAAAAAAAAAATAATTACCCTTTGCTTTCCGCTCGAATAACCAAAAAACATTACACAAATCGCACCAGGAACACAGCGTCTGAGAACAGACTCAGGAGCTTGTGAGATGGGATCAATCACCACAGCAGGCCATACCAGATTGCTACTCTTGCTAGATTTTGCCCAAACCATATCACCCAAACCAAATTCCTCCAGCTCGAAAACTTCTTCCTCCTTTTTACCCTTTTCATCAAAACCATTTTCACTCTCTGTTTTAACCAACAAACCACTCCCACCAACCATCGTTTTAATGCTCTTAAACGACTCAGCATGCTTGTCACGGCCAAATCCATTATCACTCTCTGTTTTTGAATCACATTTTATTTGCTTCCCTTTTTCCCCAGATCCCATTCCAATCTCTCGCGAACTGTTACTAACTTCAAACCCTAATCCAGATCTTTTGATTCCTCGATTATTATTTTTCCCTGAATCGAAAAGTACCGAATCATTGAACTTAGATGGAAGCTTTTGAACGCGATCTCTGGATGATCGCAACAACGGAGGTGCTTCTCCACTAACACCGTTCAACTCCATGGACGCCGAATTGGAATTGGAATTGGAATGAACCTCACCACCACCAGCACCACTACCACTGCAATTGAATCCTTCGGTGGCTCCACAGCCAGAATCTCCGTTCAAGTCCTCACTGTCACCGATTGGATTACCGCAATTATTCAGTTTCGGCTTCTTCTGAACCGATTGAGATGCAGAGTGTTTGTCTTCTTCTAGATTGCTTCGCTTCAGATTCTGAACTTCAGATTTCAAATCACGCTTGATAACCATCTTGAGGAATACGAAACCCTAGGTGAAGTGAATTTATGCTACAATCCCGAAATCGAAAAATCTGTTGAAATGAGAGAAAAGAGAATAAGATAGGAAGAACCGAAAAAGAAGAAAAGAGAGACGCTGAAATTTATAAAATTGAATTAATTAGCCGAGGAATTCTTTTGGCGGAAGCGGCAGTTGATAATAATTTTATAAAATTTATAGTTTCACCCCATTATTTCATAGTATTGCGCTTTTGTTCTATTTAGCTATCTTTTCTTTTATTCGGTTTTGTTCTATTATTTTTACGGTTTGGTTCTATTTATCTACTTATTTAAGATTCATTTTTAGAAAAATGCTTTTTATTCCGTTTTCTTTATCATATCACCTCTTCAAAAAATATTTGCATTATTTATTAGTGTAATAGATATGTATTTACAGTATAGATTAAAAATTTTACATTGTTATTCAATAATAAATAAATAAATTATAAATTATTAAAATATTAACTTGGTGGCATATATATTTTTAACTAATTAATAGTGTAAAATAATTTTATACTAATAATGTATATTTCTTTTTCTTAAACTAAAAATTATTTTACAATATCATTAATTATCAATATTAATTTTTTATTATACTTTTAAATATGAATTATTTTTTCTTTTTTCCTTTTTTAATTTAAATTTTCCATATGGTCAATAAATAATAATTTTGTAAACTTTTTATAATATTTTTTTTCTGACAACAATTATTACACTTTTAATATTTATGGAAATGTTAAAACAACTTATAATAAAAAATAGAGGAATATAAAAGAAAGTGATAAATTAATAAAACTCATTGATAGGTTCATTTATTAAATTAGTATACTCTATTTATTTGTTATTTATATTTATATCTTTTAAATTGACTATAAATAAGATATAAATCTTGAACAAAATAACTATAAATAAATAGAATAAATCAAACTTATAACTTTAAGTTACCTCTTTAAAAAAAATCATTTTATTTTAAAAATTGTTAGATTAAATATCAATAATTTATTTAAATTATACATACATACAAATAAATGTTGTCTGATATTGAAACATATACGAGTAATATACCTCCATTTAACTAAATTAGTATATTAGTTAACCTACCTCATCTCAAAAAAAAAAAAAATTATCAAATTATTTTAATTCAAAAACCTACACGCAATTGTGAGATTAAACTTTGTATACTATTTAATTTAATAAGGGTCATACTAAAGAGTGTTTTAGGGACACTGTTTAAAGATTTCAAACAAAAAAATATTGCATTGAATTTAAATGTTTTATATAAAAATATACCATTTATTTTTTTTAAAAGTCAAATGCATTTAATACAAATATTTTTAAATAAAAGATATATTTTTAAACTTTTAACGAGTGCTAGCATTTCCCATTTAATAATATCCACTTTTTTTAGTTAAACTTGAATATGTGGACAACTTTTAAAATCTTTTTTTTTTCAAATCAATGTTATAAATAAATAATTTTTTTTTTCAAATTCATTGAATAATTAATATATTTGACATTAAAAATATTAATTATTCAATTAATAAAAAAGCAAAAATGTTTGATTACAATAGTGACAAGACACTATGAGTGTTTAGATCCAAATTGATTTAAATAAAAATCACAAATTCATTTAAAAAAATTAAATATTATTGGATGTGTTTGAATGTTATTTATCTAAATAAAAATCGTAAATTCATTAAAAAAAATTTAATATTACTGGATATGTTTGAATGGTGGTATCTGAAAACTCTTCGGTTCAAATTGAATTTTGAATTAATTTTTTAAAATAGATTTATATTAAATCGAATTGCATTTGCATGTATATATTTTAATACTTATTTATTTTTTAGGCTCAATTATAATTTTGATTCTTTTATTTTACTTAATTCACAAAATTACTCCACATATTTCAAATTCAAACAATTGGTCTATAAAAGGCATTTATAGTTTTCAATTTGAGAATAAATAAAACAAAGTCAAACTTATAAATTTTTTGTTTTCTCACTTTTTTCACTTAAAATTGATGAGGTGTTCACTATTTCTTATATTTTTATTTTTAAAGATTTACAAAAGATTATTATGTCATGCAACACAAATGACATTTTATTTAAAAATAATTATATAGTTAATTTTTAGTGCAAAAATGTGAGATAAGTAGCCAAAATTGTTTGGATTTAAAATAGGAGATTGATTTCGTAAATATGCTAAAATGGAATCAAAAATGAAATCAAACCTACTTTTTATTAGTATGATTTATTAATTTTATAAAATGTTTTACAATATCAATTAATAATCAATATTAATTTTTTATTATACTTATAAATAATAATTCTTTTTAAAAATTTTAAATTTAAATTATCCATACGGTTAATAAGTAATATTTTTTTAATTTTTTAATAATATTTTTTTCATACAACAATTAGTAAACTTTTAATATTTATGAAAATGTTAAAACAACTTATAATTAAAAAAATAGAGGAAACATAAAAGAAAGTGATAAAATTCATTAATAGGTTCATTTATTAACTTAGTATAATCTATTTATTTATTATTTATATTTATATCTTTTAAATTGGCAATAAATAAAATATAAATCTTGACCAAAAAACTATAAATAAATAGAATAATATCAAACCTATAACTTTAAGTTAATTCTTTTAAAAAGAAAAAAAAAATCATTTTGTTTTAAAAATTATTGATTTATAAATATTATCAATTTGTTTAAATTAATACATTTATACAAATAAATATTACCGTCTGGTATTGAAACATATACCAGCAATATACCATCATTTAACTAAAGGCAAATTCTTAAGTACCCATAATAAATAGTTGGAAATCAGTACTTTTAATATAAAATATTTAAAATATTAATTTATTTTTAAATAAAAAATATATTAAAGATGACATGACATTGAATAAAATTGTTTCATTGAATGAAAATATCGATACTCAATTAAATTTAAGAGTACCAGAGTATTCATCTTAACTAAGTTAATATATATTAATTAAATTATCTCACTTATCTCAAAAGAAAAATTTATTAAATTACTCTAATTTAAAAACCTATACACAATTGTGAGATTTAAGAGATTGAACTCTATATTACGGTTTAATTTAATAATATTGACTTTTTGTTAGTTGAGCTTGAGTATGTGGACAACTCATTGTGTTTATAAATCTTACTTTTTTAAATCACTATTATAAACAAATATATTTTTTTCAAATTCATTAAATAATTAATTTATTTGACATCAAGTATAGACTAAATATGTTAATTATTTAATTAATAAAAAAACAAAAATATTTAATCATAATAGTGAAATCTAAATTGATTTAAATAAAAATCACAAACTCATTCAAAAAATTAAATATTATTGGATGTGTTATAAAAATTGCAAACTCATTCAAAAAATGCATATTTCTGAATATGTTTGAATGATAGTTTGTGAAAGCTCTTCGATTGATTTTTAGATTGATTTTTCAAAATAGATCCATATTAAATCGAATTATATGTATATATTTTAATACTTATTTATTTTTTACATTTAATTATAACTTTGATTCTCTTATTTACTTAATTCACAAAATTATTCCACATGTTCTAATTTCAAACAATGCCTATAAAGGCATTTATAGTTTTTAATTTGAGGATAAATAAAATATAAATAAATTAAACAAAGTTAAACTTATAAATTTATGTTTTCTCACTTTTTTTCACTTAAAATTAATGAGGTGTTCAATTTTTCTTAAAATTAAAGAGATTATTATGTCACACAACAAATGACACTTTATTTTTATTTTATTTTTAATCAAGAAATTTTGGCATTAATTCAAAAAACCATACAAACCAAGGCGATCAAATGATCCAGCCCACAAAACAATCAAACTACCTTAAGGCAAAATAAACCTAGCTATACGTGGTCTAAGCTTTGGATTAGTCCACCCTCTATACATTATATTGTAAATAATTCTATCAAGACAATTCCTATTATCAGTTATATGATTAAAACAGGCTTCGTTTCTATAAAGCCAGATCTCATGAAGAGTTTCTGTAAGGGCAAGCCTAACCAGATCAGATTGCCAGCCTTTCCCACCATAATTGCTCAGAGCCCATTGCATTTCCTCTTGCCATCTTTTTGGAGTGTGTTGAATGCCCAAACACTGAAGAATACCACTCCATATTTGCTTCAATTCCACACAACAAAAAAATAAGTGATCAATGGTTTCCTCTTCATTGCAAAAAGCACATTTGTTATTGTTGATCATGCCAAATCTGAACAGTCTTGACTTGGTTGCTAGCTTTCCATGACAGATCGTCCAGAGAGTAATAATTGCCCCGGGTCTAGCTCTATTGTGAAGGATTAATTTGGCCCATGAAACATTAGGAGTAATAGGTAGGAGGCTTTAATACACTTTCCTCCCATGGAATTTACCCATCTGCAACATAGCATCCCATGTACTTTGTATGGTCATTAGCTTGTCCCTTTGTATTAGAATCGCTTTGAAAATTCCAGAGTCAGATCCCTTAACCATTCTAGTCAGAATATCTTCATGTCTCAAGTAGTAAGCATGTATCCAACGCACCCACAAATCATCAGATTTTGCATAGATATTCCAGAGAAGTTTTATCACAAACATACTATTCCACACTTCCAAATTCATCACATTTAGTCCGCCTTGCACATGTGGTTTACAGACATTTTCCCACGCTACTGGACTTTTCCTGCTTATATTATTACCACCTGACCACAGAAAGGAGCGACATATAGCATTGATTTTGTTGATCACCGTTTTTGGAAACCAAATGCATTGCATCCAGTAGGTTGTGATAGCATAGAGCACACTCTTGATGAGTTGCAGCCTACCTGCATAACTCAACAATCTAGAGCTCCAATGAGTTATCCGGCTAAGTAATCTGTCCAACAGCGGCATGTAATGGATCACAGCAAGACGCTTACTCGTCAACTGGATACCAAGATACCTAAAAGGGAAAGACCCTTCTTTGTATGAAGTTAGATGGAGGATGCCGCACTTGACACTCGCAGGTACATTACCAAAATACACCCTGCTCTTGGAAGGGTTTATTTTCAAACCTGTAGAATCCAGGAATTTGTTCGAAGTTGAATAAAGTATTTCCACAGACGCATGATCACCTCTAGAGAACAACAAAAGGTCATCAGCAAAGGTTAAGTGAGTTATTTGCAGCCTTTCACATTTAGCATGGTGGCTAAACTCTGGATTCCTTTGCATCTTGAGAAGTAACCTGCTGAGATATTCCATGATGATTACAAACAGGAGAGGAGATAATGGGTCCCCCTGCCTAATTCCTCTTCTAGCATTGATCCTATCAGTATACTGGCCATTGATATTAAAGCGATAAGAAACTGTAGTCACAGTGGTCATAATCCAATCTACAAATTTCTTAGGTAAACCAACTTCACTAAGAATATTTTCGAGAGCGCCCCAATCAACCATGTCATATGCTTTTTGTAGATCTAGTTGGACCATGCATCTAGGGGTACCTGTATTCCTGTTATAACCTTTTAATAGCTCCATAGCTAGTAAGATATGAGAATGGATTTTCTGGCCTGGAACAAATGCCGCCTGCGCTTTACTGATGATGTTACCCAAAACCTTCCCAAGTCTGGTTGTGAGAATCTTGGATATGATTTTGTAAATTGTGGTGCAACCAGCAATAGGCCTGTAATCTTTCAAGGTTTTGGCGTCCGACTGTTTGGGAATAAGAGTAACGGTAGTTTCGTTGAAAGCTTTATAAATCATATTCTGCTCAAAGAATTCTGTAACAGCTTCAATAACATCCTTATCAATAATGTCCCAGCTTGCTTTGAAAAAATTTCCACCGTAACCGTCAATACCTGGGCTCTTGAGGTCTCCTATCCCTTTTAATGCATTAGTGATTTCAGCAACAGATATTGGTGAAATTAGATCAGCTCTTTGTTCCATGGACAGTTGAGGCCCTTCCCTCATGACTTCAATATCTATCATATTAATTCTGGATTCCCTGGTGCCCATCAGTTTCCCATAAAACTCACATACCTCCCTTTCTATGTCCTCCTGTTTATGTATACAAATACCATCCTCTCTATAAAGTTGGCTGATATGTGTGGTTGTAGTTCTGGATTTGAGGTAAGCATAGAAGAATGATGAATTCGTATCGCCTTCTCTAAGCCAATTAATCTTAGTCCTCTGTCTCAGCATTTGGTCCTGAAATTCTTGAAGCTGGATCAAATTATCAGTACAGGTTTTAACTTTCTCAATAGTCTCAGTGTTCATACGATCCATAATGAGACTTTCCTGGTTTTGTAATAATTCATTCCTTGCTTGGGCAATGGTCTGATGGAGGTTTGAAATTTGTTTACTCAATCTGCAAAGGGGAGCTTGTAGTCTCAGCAGTTTAAACCATAGTCTAGCCATAGGTCTGCCTGTGATTTCCTTATTCCAGCTCTGTTTGACAGTGTCATGATATTCTGGTATTTGCACCACACTAGTAGTAAACCTGAATTTCTTGTGCACTCCTCTGTTAATCTTCTCAGCATTCAAACTTAACAGGCAGTGATCAGAGATACTAGGAGGGAGAATTTCCAGCTTCAAATCCATACTATCCTGCAGCCAATCTATATTACCAAGAACATGGTCAATTTTTGAGTAAATTGTACCTATAGAATGTTTATTTGTCCATGTAAAATAGTCGCTCGTGCTATCCTTCTCATACAAGCCAGCATGATTCATCAAATTTCTGAGATCTTCAACCTCTCTGTCAGTCACCAGGTTACCACCAATTCTGTCCATAGATTTGGTAACATTGTTGAAATCGCCTATAAGGAACCATGGACCCTGTTGACTGTCATGGATATGTTTCAGTTCTTCCCACAGATTCTTTCTTTGCTCTAGTTGATTCATTGCATAGATAGTTGTCATCCAAGTTTGGAACACTCCATTGACATCATGGATACCACAGTGTATCATCTGTGAAGTGCATTTTATCACTCTGACATCACATTGTCTCTCATCCCAGTTGATCCAAATTCTGCCATTGTAATGTTCATTGTAATTCTCATGGTATTGGCCTTTGAGGTTCAGCTGATCTCTAATTTTCCTCGCCTTGTCATGTTTTACTCTTGTCTCTAGTAAAATTGCAATCTTAGGGTGAAGGTCAAAGAGACGGAAGCTAATCTCCTTTAACTTCCCCACTTTATTCAGCCCCCTCACGTTCCAAGATGTAATCATTGGCCAGTATTTTGAGACTCTATAAGATCCTTCGAAATCTCAAGAGCCTCAAAGCCATTGGCACAAACAATCTTATTTATACTGTTGGGATTGTCTTGTGGTTTACCTCTATCCTTACCACTTCTTATGACTTCTATCCACTTCTCCATAACTGCCTCAACCTGCTCAATAATGTTCACTCCATTTTCTAGAGGTGGGTCAGCAGCCTTACTCACCAGATCAGTGGGACACTCACCTAATGTATTTCCCTTAGCATTGTTCTCCACAGCAGGGGAATTAACCTTGTCTCCTACAATGTTGTTGTTTCCTTCAGTCCTAGGAATCCTTTTAGTAGTGTTGTCCATCACAGTTTTCACATTGTCTACATGTTGTGGTGCATGTTTTGGTTTCCATTGTTGTGTGACTTTGGGTTTATCACAGCTATGGCCAACCTTTTGACACTTGCTGCAGAACAGGGGTCTCCATTCATACTCAATAGGTTGTTGGATTTTCTCTCCTTCATTATCCCCAATGGTAATTATTTGTGGCAGTTCCTTTGTAATGTCCATTTTCATAAGTATGCGCGCATATGATACTCTGAGTCTGTTTGTCGTACATTCGTCTGTCATGATGGGGTTTCCCAGGGCACTTCCTATCTTGTTTAAACTTGTATCACCCCACAGAATGATGGGTAGTTGAGGCAATTTCACCCAAATTGGTAATGTTCGCAGGATTTCATCTTTGACCTTGAAACCTGGCCTCCATTCTCGAATCAGCATAGGGATGTTTCTTATCATGTATGGTCCTCTCAATAGCACTTCATCACGATCCTTGAATGACTTGAATCAAAGAATAAAATAACCTTCATCATTGTAATACATATCCGGCAATTGAACAAAATTCCAGTTCCTGGTCATGAAATTCTTAACTGCATTCATGCTAAGGTCAACTCCCATTGTATAGAGGATCAAGGAGGATTCCCAAAATTTAAATTTCAGAGATAATGTCTTCGTCTTCAATTACAACTTCCAATTTTCCATTCACAACTTGGGGTGCGATGAAATTCATCGCCCTACCCTTTGTCGGATTTCGATTATCCTTCAGTACATCTACCCATAGCTTGCGACCTTCCTCAGATGCTCCTTCATGGATAGGTTTTCCATTCTCAGGTTGCTTAGGTATCACAACTTGTATTGCATCCATCGATTGAGTGGCAGTTTCCATTTCTTCTTGATTGGGTTTTCTAGTACGTGCATTTAGGGTTTCAACTTCCAGAATCCCTTCTTCAGTTAAGCTAGTGTTGCTCGCCAGATGGTTTCTCAGCTCTAATTGTTGTTGTGCAGGTGACACCGGTGGGGTTGTTGATGGCGGAGGCATCGTATTCTTCGGCGGCCGCCCTCGCCCTCTCCCTTTCCCTCTCCCTGTCATTCTTCTATAATGACACTTTATTTTAAAATAGTTATATTGTTGATTTTAAATGCATGAGATGAGTGACCAAAATTGTTTGGATTTAAAATAGGGGATCGATTTCGTAAATCCACTAAAATGGAATAAAAACGAAAGCAAACCTACTTTTTAATTGTATGATATATTATTTTAATTTATGATTTGTTGAAATTTATTTTTTAGTATTAATTATTAGTTTAGTTTATATATTTATTTTTTATTATTTTATTTATTTGAACCATGTCATTTTTATTTTGTAATATTAATTTTTAATATATTATATATTTTATAAAATATATTACTTTTTAATGCTTTTATAATATTATTTAAATATTATTTAGAATTTGAATATTTAAAAATTGATTCAATTTAAATCGAATAATTATTATTTTATAATCAATTAATTAAATTTAAATCAATTTACAAATAAATCTATTTTTACATTAATGAGTTTCTAATTCAAACCGCACTATAAACCCTTAAAGTACTTGAACAATTAGGTATATTAAAATTTATGATGTACTTTTGATTTGTTAAAAAATAAGGGATTGGACGGGACAACTTTTTTTTATCATGTTTGATACAGAAATTTATCATGGCACAGGACAAAATAAGGTCAGGGACAGGACAAATACATGAATTATTGTTCTTCATTAAACCATGGGACGACTTTTTGTCTCAAACACAAATTATTAAAAAATATCAAAATACAATTTTTAATCTCTCTCTATTTAATTTTTTGATTTATGAATATAATATTAATATTTTATTTATTAATAAAAAATATTTTAATAAAATTATATTATTTTTTCTAATGCATAGACATATCAAATTAAGTAGAGTAATTTTTTTTCTCTTCATCATTTTTCTTCTCTTTTTCATTATTTAATATTTTAATTCATGAATATCAATATTTTATATACCAATAAAAATATTATTGTAAAAATTATATTATTTAGTGCATAGATATATCAAATAAAATAGATAAAAAAGTTGTCCAGTGCATCGACCATCAAACACAGTACAAAACAAAAAGTTGTCTTGTACTGTTCTATATTATATGGTATTGTTCTGTCCAGTACTTCTTATTTTGCAAATCGAACGCATCCTAACTGAAATTTTATGACTTAAGACTTTCTACATATCAGATAATTAAGTAAGTCTTACAAAAGGTAAAATTTGAAACAGACTCTAATTTCAACGAAAATTAGAGTGATTTGCGATTAATTTGGAGAATTTTCAAGTACGACAATAATTGAAAATATTTTGGTTTAATTAATATGTAGGTCTCTAAATTATATTTACATTTTAAATAGGTCTATAAACTAATAAAAGTCGTAGTAAGATTTCTGAATTATCTTGCTTTTTCACAAATAATTCAGCTTTTCAAAAATATTCTCTAAATAATCCACTTTTTCACAAAATTCCCAAACTAACTCAAATTAAAATAAAAGATTTGAAATATAGTTGTGGTTGTTACACTCCAATATTTTCTCTTGGTTCTCTAACCTTAATTGACTTGTGCTTTGCATTCATACACATTCCATATGCCTTCGTCATGCATTGCATTAGGCTTCAAAGGCATAGGATCACAGTGTATTATCGGCAGTTCATAACTTTCTTTATTTCAAAGAGTATTTCAGTAGCATTCAGAGTTAAATTCACAGTCATCAAAGTCTTCGAGTATTTATTTTGCTCAGCAGATGGTTTGATTATTTCAGAGTCAAGAATAGAAAGAACATAGCTCATTTGATCTTATTCCGGACAAGTTATCAATTATGTTTCAGACATTATTAAAGGGCATTATCATTGGCCAAGGTTCAGATGCGAAGTCGGGCTCAAAGCAAGTTGCAGCAGGGTGATTTTTGAATTTTGTCTTAATGTAATCGATTAACACATCTGGTGTAATCGATTACACCCCTCCAGAATGTACTAAAATTAAAAATTTTGAGCATGTAATCAATTAACCAGTTTCATGTAATCGATCACACACAGTTAATTTTGCCAAAAACAGCAGGTTATTAGCATTGTAGCAATTTCTAATTCATTTCAATCACTTGGATTCACTACTACATTAGTGGAAGGATTTAGATGGTGCAAATTAATTTCATTTTCCCTCCATAATTCAAATAATTTCCACTCCTAATTCCTAACCAAAAATCCAATCCTCATTCAAAACTCAGTTTCAAACCTCATTTTTATTCCATACCTAGATCATATTTAAACCAGTTTGCTTCATTCCAAGAGGGAACCAATTCATTTTTTCTGATTTTTCTACACATCACACTCAAATTCTCTGTCCTTTTTCAACTTTCATTTTCATCTTCATATATAACCTCACCAAAGCTCTTCCATTAGAGTTAACAAATTCTTCATTGGAGTTTGTTAATCCTTAAGTTAAACCTTCATCACACTGCTTTTCATTAATTGATTATGCAGTAGAAGTTGATTTGGATCTAGATCTGAATTTTTGGAAGCAATCTCTTGAAGTAATTTTGAAGCAATTCTAGCTTATTGCATTGTTCTTCAACTTTTCTTGTAAGGAATCTCTTAGATCTTTGGTTTTCTTTGCTTGATTCGTCAAATTTTGTTTGCAACAATTACCAAAGCAAATCTCCACTTTGTAGGTTGGTAATTCTTAGTTTCAAACTCATTTTATCTTATTTTACAACTTTCACAATGTAGATCCTTGTGGTTTTTGTGTGAGTTGATCCATTGATTCAATTGCATGATGTTGTTGATTGTTTGATTGATTCAATATGTGTTTATTTGATCATAATTGATGTGATTTTTGTGTACAATTGCATGCTATTGCATGTTGCGTTTGGTCTTTGAATTGATGCTGGAAAAGTGAATTTGAAAAGTGATTTTCTGTTGTTTCTACTACAGGTGTAATCGATTAACATATCTGGTGTAATCGATTACACCTTATTTTCTGCGCCTGG